GCGCAACCATTAGAACGGTTTCTTCATCCGTTAGGCATACTTAGTTAGCCGTTAGAACGTTAGGAGAGAGCGTTAGAACGCTTTGATCATCTGTTAGGCACACTTAGATAACCGTTAGACCGTTAGGACAAAACGTTAGAATGCTGTGAAGACCGTTAACTATCCGTTAGCTATCCGTCCATTAGCGCCCGTTTAACGGATAAGCGTTAAGGTACGTTTTCCTGTTCACGGTCACAAATGCTGGTAGCGGGGTTCTGAGAACCAAGAAGTTAGAAGTGTACCGGACGATAAACTAGCACTAAATGAACATGAAGGGATAACCCAAATATATACGCAACGAGATTTGCGTATGACGCGAGAAAAAAAGCATGCAGAATGGGAAAAAATACATTAACATACGGAACAAAAAAGGACACAAAGAAAACACGAAATATGGAAAACACAAAATAGCCGCAACATTTTATATTTTAATAATATTTGTTCATCACACATACTCCTGTGTGCATGTGGTCTGCTTTCCAATTTGAATATTGGGTCTCTAGAATTTGTCATTAGAATCTGACAGATTCTTAAGGCCACAGGTTTAGGGTTACGACTTAAAGCAAGAATCAGCTTATAGTAAAATAAATATGGTAATACAAGCCAGAATATAGATAGACTTACAGCTCCAATTTGAAGTCTGTCTAGGTCCGACACATTGACAAGGTTGACAGTGAAGACTTCAGCAACTTCAGGAGTATTATCTGGTTTTATTTCAATGGTAATGTTTACCTCATCATGACCTTCAAGATAAAATAAATTCATTAACATAGCACATACATGTACATGTATAACACATGAATCATGTTTACTGTGGGTAGTGTCAGCCCACACTATCAACTGACATATTGACTGACACTCTGTCAATACGTCAGCTGAGTATCAGTGAACACTCGGTCAATACACAGCCGATGTATTAGCTGAAAGTACAGCTGTAGGTCAAGTGTCAGTTGAGTATCAATCAACTGTCGGCCATATATTAGCCATGTATTGGCCAATTGTTGACCGATACACTGCCAATGTTCAGCTGACCTATCGATCAAGTGTTGGTTGATATGTTGGTTGACAGGGTCGGCCGACACCACTTACAGTGAACATGATCCAAACACATTACAGATGGACCTAAATTGCCAGTCAATAATGAAATTATAATAATTATTGTTTTTAAAGCAGCCAATTCAAGTGTTGGTAAACCTTTAAGCCTAACAGTATGGTAGGGGGTTCTAACTCAGGAGAAAAGGGGCAGGAAGGCTTGGTTTGGAAATACCAACTTGGCTTTCAATAACTGCCAGCATAAATACCTTCTTCAAACACAACTTCCCCTCTCTGTGGACCAGTGTCATTGGCATAAAATGTGGCGCTATCACTTGTGATGTTCCAGTGTACAATGACCCTGTCTGCAGTTCCTGTCCGTCTCACCGGCAGCTGCATAAACAAAGAAGAAGGACCAACTGGCTCCTGAACAGAAACAGACTGGTGTGCTGTGGAAAATCCAATTTCCCCATTGGCATCCTGGGCTGTTACGTTTAGGAATGCAATAGATCTATTTCCAATCTTTGGTGATGAGGGTGTCACTGAGTTTACTAAACCAGATGCTATTGAAAAAAATTGTATTGTTACCATCAATAAAATTTGTGATACCTGGTAAATGTAGATCATAATATTCTACCAACTGTATTGTAACTTCAAGACTAAACCCCAAGCAAAATTCAAAAAGTGTGAGGGCTTACACTGTATGTACTGTACAAGCATGTATTGCATGTTTTCCAGATCCCTCCTCTCTTTAAATAGATATACAATGTACACATGTATGTGTATTGATGCAAAGAATGCCAGAAATCTGATTTAGAGAAAATGTTTTCAAATCTGATTCCTTTAGAGACATTTTAGAAGTCAGTATGTACATTAGTGTCTTATTTAAAAATTTGATTATGAGCTCAAGATTTCTGGCATGAAGGCCATATCAACTATGTAGAAATCAAATGCAAAAAACCTATAAATATTATCTCTAAGTTAGTAGAATTCAAGCTAAAATTTACTTCAAATAATGGTGAGAATTTGTGGGTTGACATCAGGGGTTAAAATGATGAAGGCTTGCAAGTAAAAGCACACTATAGAGTCATGTACCTCCTCCCTGTAAACTGACAGCAGTCAGTTCAGCCTTAAAAGAAGCCCCAAGTTTGATGAATCCATCATCTGCAACCTCCACTGCCATAGAAATGCTACTTGAGCCAGCAGCTATTGAGACTGCGGGTGGATAAGTAAGACCAACTTCATTTGAAGGGCTATGGGTGCCAGGCAGGATGTAGACAACAGTAAGGTTAACTGTAACATCACCAACCAATCCACCCATCCTTGTGATGTTCAGGTGTAGTTTACGGGGAGCACTATCCTGTTTAGTGTAAGGAAAGAGAGGATTGAGCTTGAGCATAAACTGTACACTGCATAACAATCACTCAAAACCAATCTTACATGTATATCACTAGTTTAAGGGAAGGGGAAGGGTAAATAGAAGATGTGTTTTTCTTCTGTTTAATTCACTATTTAGTGATGCCAATTAGAAATTTCTATTCACTAATAAACTATTAATTTTTCTCGCACAAGCATGTACCTTCATCTACATTGTACACAGTATATTAATTGTTGAAAGACCATGATTGTTCAGTTACAAATTAAACACTATCCTAAGACAAAGCTTCACCTTGCATTTGTCTCCTTTCCCCCCAAATCAGTGTTTTTACTTTGATAAGTAACATGTGTGTTGCCAATCAAATTTTGTTGCTCATTATATTAAGCATTAAACAACTGAACATTTAAAAGTCATTATTAATACTTCAAACCTTGACCAAATCAATAAAGCTGTACAGTCAAACCTACTGTAAGCAAACACCCTTGGAACTACAACTAGTGAGACAATCTCAGATAGTGCAGAGCACAATTGATAGTTCTGGCATGGTAGTCCCATAAGTACTCACCCCTGCTCAGTTCACTTCAGGTTTGTGTCTACCTTGGTAGTCTGCTAGGGCTTTTCCCCTTAGCAGTGTGTATGTTTCAAGGTTGTATTTTCATTCAAGGTCCGAAAACTACATACAAATTACTACTGGTGTTTTATGTTGATTTTCGTTCATTTTAAATTCAATAATATGTTGAAGCAGCAAACATGACAATTTAACTCTTCATGCCAACTCTGTAACTTGATACTTTTTGTTTTCCTCGCACAGGCATGTAACCTGAAACCCTTGTTTTCTCCAAAACACACGGAAGATGTGCTTGTTTTTCGGAGATAAATGAAACAAAAGTTAAATATCTGATGTAGTGATGAAGAAACGGAACAGAAACGATGTTCTACTAAAAATGCAAATTTTCCTATCACCGATGAACAAGAAATAATTTAATTATCAGATAGTCACAAAATACCACTTTCTTTTTCTGTTGCCACCTTTGTTGTTAATAAAACAATTCAAAATTAACACACAACAATATTGATGGCTGAGAAGTGTTTCAACGAAAAGTATTAAAGATAAACAGCGCTACTTGGCCGATATGAACAAGTCTCCTTAAAGACTGATTAAATTAATTTGCCCTTTCATTAGGTGCCACAGAGTCTGCATCAATATTTGAGCACTTTCCTGGTTTCCTTTGTTACAAATTTACAATTTGCGGAGTATTAAAGCCACTAACTTGGGAACTTTCTGGTCTGTCTTACAGACACAATTAAGGTAAGAAATAAACAAGTTGCTAAGGAGAAGCAATACATTTGAACCCTGACAAACACACTATTGTAGATTGAAAACAGCAGATGACATTTGTTGACCCGACCTGTGTGTAATTCTAAAAGTTACGCAGCCACAGTAACGTTTCTCTTTTGCAATAAAAAGGGACAATTGGCGCTACCTGAAAAATAACTGCCGGCCTTGGTCACATGACATGACATATAAAATACCACGTGGAAAGAAGTGAATAACACTAACGATGCTAGAACGCATGTGTCTTACATGTTGAGTTCTACCATAAGGAAAACCACTCAACATTTGTATGTGATTTCGTATGCAAAGTATTCTCCATCTACTATAGAAGCCACGAACGCTAACTAATCTACGCATGTGTTTAGAGCAAATTAGTTTTGTTCTAAAGAGAATGGTACCACAAGGAGAGCAAGGGGTTACCTGAAACAAATATATAGCTTTGCGATGTTCCTATCCAAGTGACGGCAATAGAACATGTTTTACGTAGAGTACACATGTACCTTTCCCACCCCACCCACACCACTTCCTTGCCTCTAGAATAATTAATTAATTGAAGTTAATTAATTAAACAAACATTAAAGTTTACACCTTAGCACCATAATGCCTTAGCACCATCATGCCTTAGTGCTATAGTGCCATAGCCCTATAGCACCTTAGTGCCGTCACGCCTTAGTGCCTTAGCAGCAGGCTGCCCCCAAAACCATCCCAATAGTACACTCTGCACTAAAAAGTGATAACTTGGGAAAGGAGTCTGGAACAGCATTTGGGCATAGCTGGGTCCATGAATAAGCATCCACTCAAAAGAAATGTCCACCTACATGTACATGTAGGTACATGTACAATGTAGTCTCTAAGCAGACTTGAAACTCTAGTACCTTTACACATACTTACCATGTTTATTCTCTGCTCACTGTCTGCTGCAAATTCAAAGACTCCATAAACATTGTCACTATCACGAACAAAGAAATTAGCCCTTTGCGCTGACAGAGTGTTATCAAGCCTTGCACCTCCTGTAACATTATAAAGCTGTATAGTATACTCTTTACTCTCTTCTGGGATAGAGTCTGGGCGGACAGTGACTTGGAATGACAAAAGATTGTCTCCAGGGGAGAACCTTAACTCTCCAGATGTTGTCTCAAAAACAGAGCTTGCATCACTGCTGAGGATTTTCCAAGAAACTGCGACATCACCGAAAGTACCAGCACTGCGATTCACATTAAATGTACCAGTCCTTACACCAGTATCTTCATCTAAAATGCCCGGATATTGACCAAATGCGATGATTCCATGCTGATCATCATTTGGCGAGAGAACCACAGTAGCCATACCAGGTGGCTTAATGTAAGCATTTTGACTTGCATTTACCAAATGAACTGTAAAATTCTCCGCTTGTTCTGGTACTTTGTCATTAATCAATCGAACAGTGATCATCTTTTTTGTTTCACCAGCTTGAAAAGTTAATGTGCCCTTATCATCATGATAATCCTCTCCTGCAATGGCAGAACCTGCAGCAAGAAACCAGTCTACAGTTGTGATCTCATTGACAGGCCCAATTTCAGTGACACCATCAGTGCCAAGTCCCCTGGAAACTTCAACCTCAACAGAGGTTTGATTCTCAGGAACTGTAAGGTCATCAAGTGGAAACTCTAGCGGAGCATCATTGGCAGGTATTTTGACAATAATTTGCTTTGCACTTGGCTCCACTGTAGCTCCTCCACTTGCAGATTCCAGAGTCAAAGTGAATGATTCTTCATTTTCTGCTACCTACATGCACAAACACAAAGGTGCAGCGTGAATTGAAGTTACTGACATCAAAATCTAATTAATCATTCAAATCATTCTTTAGACACTTCACTGCAGAGCTTTAAACATAAAAATTTAGAAAACATCAAAATGAAGCATTATAATATTATTTATTATGTTTGTACAATTTATTGTACACTGAATGAAGTGGTAAAGTAATACAATTTGTATGAATACACTGCAATCTTACTTCTGAAATCTGTGACCTGCAAGGTCTGTGTACCTGCAAGGAAGTCTACAGTAACAGCATTTTTGGAACACTTTTGGGCGTGGATAGTAGGTGCATTTATGGTGATGGTCATGATATAACCTGTGATATCAACTGTGATTGGGTTTATTCACCCAGTATTTGGACTCTCATTATGAGTGTCATTATGTCTGTATGTGACTTTGAGTTACAGTTATGTAATGTATTGGTTACATGCAGATCAAGTTTGGCTGTGAAGCTGTAAGGAGTTTGCATGTACTGTACAATATGTGTACAACACCTCTTCTGCACACAGTGAGGGTTCAAAACTTTTGTTTATTTCTATTTAAATACTTCATCAGAAGGTGTTATATTTTAATTAATTAGTAAGTTCACTTCTCAGCAGACATAGTACATGACCTGTTAAATAGCTCTGCCATGTTTACACTGCCTTATTACCAGTGTGTAAGGGAAAAATGGAAATTAGCCACCAAAAACTAGGGGGTGTCAGGAGAGATGTCTTCATTCCCTTTATACTCTTGCCCCCAAAAAAATCTATGGGCAGAGGCAGGTAACTACATGTACATGTCCATTTGGTTGTATGTGTTTCAGTCAACATAAAAAGTATCAAACTCTACTTACATTATCTGGCTTCACCTCAATGGCAAGATTTGCCATGTTCTGTCCATCTGAGAAGGCAACCACCCCACTGTTACTGATGAAGTCATCTAATCCATTGTTTGGTCCACTTGCAACCTATCAAACCATGATTATTGTCTGATTAGATACAGACATTTTATTTTCTGTTTTGAATTCACATAAAATCTGTACCTGTTATATGTTATTAATATTAAACAATCCTGTAAATTATACAGTACATTCATTTTGGTACCAAAAATAAAATCATACACTGTACTGTAAATTACTTATAAAATAACTGAGCTACTACATGCACTCTCATTGGTCGATAGGTGTGCTAGGATGAGAGTATGTACACAATGTTGTGACGTCTTAGATTCGCGTGTATTCTCCCAACCCTCCTCACATTTAGATGAGGCTATCTAAACACGGAAAAAGTGCTCTATTGCATAAATTGACCAAATTAGATTACGAGCTCGAGATTTCTATCGTGTGATGATGAGGGTGCAGCCTCAGTCAACTATCACATATAGAAATCAAGAGCAAAATTAATAATCCAATGGTCTTAGTTAGCATAAATCTACCAGAACTTCTATTAAGTCCTCTTCACAGATACTTTGAAAACACAAAGAAGTGTCCGCCAGTTTGTAAGCATATCTAAAGTCGGATAACACTATTATCAAGGAAAATCGTTAAGTAAAATATGTATGTAGATAAGAATTGACAATATCTGTTTTCTTAATAATTCACTATGGTATCACTGTTAACTTCTGTAAACCAAACTTTATTCATTCTTCTGTAACTAAATCAATGAAAAAAAAATTGTAATCTTTGTTATTGTGGAAATAAATAAATAAAGGCAAAAAAACAAACAAAAAACAACAACAACAAAAAAGTTTGTAAGCAAGTGTACACTGCAAGGATCTACTAGGCTACTCACTATCTACAACAGAAGAGATATTGAGTAACGTAGCCAATAATAAAAGGGCATTCGTAATAGAATGCTAGTAGATTTATACAAATGTACTATAAATTATAGAAAACTTTGAAAAATGTACCAGTGCAGGATCATAAAAAATGTACTTACCTTCCAAGATACTTGCACCATACCAATCAGGCCAGCCTTACGAGTAAGCTTGATGTTTCTTGCATTAGCTTGACCTGTAAGTTCATCCACCACAAGTGGTCCAGTCTACAACGAAGGGAGATGAAATGGCTTTACAATCGTCTTTTATCGTAGACTTTGTATGTAAACATATTGATATAAATACATTGCATGTACACGTAATAGTGCTAATGTATTTTTATTTATGGAAAATAAGAATCAAAAACTGTTTGAAACTTTGAGAAACTAAATGATTTGTATGTTAGATGCCAAAGCTTAAGATTCGACATCATTTTTTCCACAAACTTTTCCAAAGCATTGAACCTGCTGTCACAATTTACATTGAAACATCAATGGTAGGTATATTTGGACTCCAATATACAAGATGTTACATGTACATGTGTATGACAAGCTTCTGCAACTTAGAACCTATTCACAGTTTTCAACATACCTCGTTAAAACCAATGATACCAAATGCGTCATCATTGGCTAGTATTGTTAGATATGCCACTGAGGGTGATACCACAATTCCAGATCCTGTCACAATCAGTTCTATAGCAAATGTTTCATTGGCTTCCGGGATTTCGTCATCTGTTATGGTAAATTTACACTCCCCAGAGGTGTCATTTGCTTGGAATTGTATGTTTTGTGAAGTGCCAATCACATCTGCATCTTGAGCAGAGGCATTCATCTAAAACAGCAAAACCAGATTCAATAAAATGATCAACCAGGGCTGTCATTAAGTTTTGATTCATCTGTAGCCCGTTATAAACTTCTTACTTTATGAGTAAATAAATGTTGTATGAGCAACTACAGACAAGTTAACTTGTAACATCAATGGCTGAACAAGAATACTCAGCCATAACAGGTGTTATGGGCTATAGCCCTTAATGACAGCCCTGATCAACCACGCAAAATAACTTCTAAAACACTTGAGACAGTATCAGGATTTAAACATTTACAAGGAAGTTACACCAAGGCCTAAATGACATTCAAGTTTATGACAAATTTCTGTGCATGATTAAGCAGCCACCTTTTATAACTAACCACCTCTCATTATGTACGTGTCTTAAGTGACAGCATGTAAAAATTACAGTGCATCTTCAAGTACTACAAAAAATTTAAGTCTGCCCCAAGCCATACAACTGCACAGTATATGTCTCACACGGCAAGACATTACATGTATCCTGATTTTGGCAGCAGGAAGTGACTACAGGAGCATTTCTACATGTATACTTGCCCTCTGGTCTGGATGGGATGCTAGTCCATCACAGTCCAACCCAGTGACTCAGACCAGGGCTCAAACTACATGTAGGTAGGTAAAGTTTGCATACAAGCCAAGTGGCCCGCCAGGCCAGAGCTCAACCCGGTTTCTGTAAAAAGACATGGCCAGGAGTATAAATTTCTACTCCCCCCGGTACCCGGTACCCATTTATACACCTGGGTGGAGAGAGGCACTGTGAGAGTAAGGTGTCTTGCCAAGAACATGATACAGTGTCCCTGGCCAGGGTTCAAACCCGGACCGCTCGATCCGAAGACAAGTGCACTAACCATGGCACCACTGCGCCTCCCTCTCAAAGTAGCACCACCTAATGTGAGGTCTAGTGAGCTGATTATTAGGCCACTGCATCTCCCACACATAACCTTATAGTACATGTACCAGCTGTACTATAAGTTGACCACCAAAGTGACCACCTTCTCGCAAGGTAGTCGCTATCTCAAGGTGTTTATTATTTCACTAAGATGTCCACGCCCCATTACACTCAAGACTCATCTCCTTTCTCTTGAGTGCAATGGAAGTACATTTTAATGAATATTTTAATGATACAACAAGGGAAATCCTCTTATGATTGACTGCTTTTGCCGTTGAGTAAATTAATGGGTGACACCAACCTTGCAAGTAACATCCACAGTGCCTGTTGTTGCCCCTGTCCGGGAAATGCCAAAAACTGCTTGGGTAAATGGTGCTTCTTCTACTTGAATATGCGTGTTTGTAAACCTAAAATTCCCATCACCAGCAGCGCTTGCCAGCAGCACTAACAGTGCTAAGGGATAGTACATTTCTGGAAAAAAATATAAAACACTACTTTGGATATCTACTTCAATTATTGCAGTACTTTGTAGTTAGCAATGATACAGATTTAACCCAATATATGGTACAAATAATATGTAATTTTATGTTAGTTTGAAATAGAGCGATTTTCACTTGCACATCAAAAAGTATTGGGTACATTACATGCATTTAGACTACAAATGGTCCCTCTTTCGCTCAGTCCGTCATGCATGACGTGAAAGAAAACCGCGAGAAAAAAATGGCCATGCAAAATCATGGAGGCGAGGAGCGCGCGAAAGGAGGGACTACTGCCTAAGCCAAAGAGTTTGACCTTTCATGGCCGAGTGATTTTTCGGTGTAGGATTTCTCATCTTGACGTCCTCTTATTATCGCCTGTTGTCAATAACCTTGGGAGATCTGAATAAAATTGCTCTACTCTACTCTTCAAGTAGCAAGGCAAAACTTCTGCCATGAGAAGTATATCTTTGTTCAGTGTTCGTTCAGCAAAACTGCCAAAGAAGTTTTAAAAAGAAGATGGCAAATGAGGCATCTTGTAACGATTTTCACTGCGCCTGTAGGTGTAAATCTACAAGTTATTGCAAAAATTTCAAATGCAGAGTTTCAACAGGGAATTTACATTATGTATTTGACATGGGAGATCCTGCCGTGAAATGTTTGCCGATATCAGTGGAAAGTTTCAGGTGAATGTCCAGTTTCAAGTGAAAGTCCAGTTCTATCTTTCAAATGGACGGTAGAAAGGCCAAGCTCGGTGAATTCACATTCGCTGACTTGGACAATGCTGTTGAGTGGCAAAATCACTAACACGCTTGCAGTCAGGTTGGAGGGGGAAAGCTTTGCCAAACAAAACACTGGATAAATTTAAGTCTTTCCAAAGGCTATTGGCAGATCTGCAAGAACATCCCGGCTTGCAAAGCGTGATTCCAACGCTTCGATTTGCTCTGGTTCCAAAACATTCCCGCAAGACGTCACACGTATCTTGAATGTTGACAACACATTGTCAACGCTCCTAGCATAAGCCAATCATATTTTTGCGTTGCAAGAGCAACACATAACTCAAACTCCCTGGCTTAGGTGGTAGTCCCCCCTTTGGCACGCTCCTCACTCCCAGGATTTCGCGTGACCATTTTTTTCTCGCAGTTTTCTTTTTCATCATGCACGACAGACTAAGCCAAAGGGGGACTACTGATAGATTATGCATTACTACACCACACGATTGGGTTAAAAAAACTTGCCCAATATTTCCATCAATCATTAGGGACACATTTTCCCATGCTTCACGTCAGCTACATGTATTTACTTTAGGTTTTTATTGGATAGTCTGTGTCCTTCGTCATTGGCTAGAGTGATAACACATACAATGGTTTTGGTTTTACAACACTCATTTGAAATCTACTACTTGTATACTATATTAATTAATTTGTACATTAGAGTGGATACACATGACTGTAGTTAAAACTTAGTAATGTTTAGTATTGTAGATATAGAGGTATCACAATTTCTCAAACCCTCATTTTTTCAAACCTCCTGATACATGTAACTTGAACCAAAAGTAGTTTCCCTCTCCTCCGTCGAACACTGTAATTTTACCTCTGATTTCTCAAACTATCCGATATTTCAAACCAATTTTTGTCCCCCTGGGAATTGAAAAACTCGGGATTCTACTGTACATGTATACCTGTTAAGTATAACTCAGACAATAATTATTAGAAAATTGTTTTTCGTCACATTTTTCCCATAATTCATGCTTCTCCAATGAAAATTTTCCTGCACATATGTGTACAAGTTGTAAAAACTATGACAACTTCTCTCACACTTCTTTAAAGTTGATTACCTTAGTTTATTATGTGAATATAAGCTACACCACATTGCTCAGTTAGAAAATTCTTGGAGAGTGACATCACACTTGTATGAATTTAATAATTCAAACCAGCCAATTGGACACAACTGTCATTCTAACCTTCTAACCTCCTTCCTTAGTTACAATTATTCTAAAACCACAACAAGATTGCAACAAATTGAAAAATACGCATTTCGTACATGTACGATCAAATTAAACTGGAGCGTAAACCTAAAAAGTTGATTTCTTAAACCTAATGAGGTGGCAACAACGGAGAAGTTTTCATAACGAAAACACAGTACATAACACTTTTTCCCCACAAACTCAGCTAGTGTAGCTTGAACATTGCAAACACACACAAACATTGTTTTCGATGTTATTGTTCAACGAAGTGGTATATAAATGCACAGAGAAACTGTTCAAGCAACCTGAATTTGCAAAATCAAAACATAAAACAAGGACGGTTTATAAATATCAATCGATTCACAAGTGACAACCGAATATTATCGTCTCTAAAATTTCTCGATCTTGCATGTAAGCTTAATCAATATCATGGAATTGTTGAATCGCCTCAAAATTCAAGACATAAAAAGCAAAACTACACTATGCACATTTTCACTAAACCGGCTTTTTATAAGCTTCGTAACTCTTCAAACTGCCGAGACTCGAAGCTGGAGGTATAAATTTTGAAAAGTTTATCATGGCGTCCGTAGCTATGGACGCCATTAAAGAATTCGCTCGCAGTTAAAGCGCGCGGTTTGGAATGCATTGAAAGAAATGTTCTTGCATTTGAGACTTCACAATATTAGATATCCAACAAACAATAACTGGTGAAAACTACTTTAGAGATAGGGAATAAAGCATTATAGCAGAAAACGAAAATTAAACTCTAATAGACGTTTAAATTTGAAGACAGCTGCGACACATGCGGGTTACTATCGAGCTGTTAAATCGCGCGCAAGCAATTATCTTCCTTCGCTGCAAAATTCAACAGCAGCGACATGTACGACTGTTAGAATACACATATACTACGGAATTCTGTAAACAGTACAATTCTTATCTAAAGGTTAACGGAACAAAAGAGAGCTCTTGAAGTGTGTACGTTAAGACTGCCATGCATGATATTCATCGCTTCAAACAAACCTCTTATGTTTTCCAAGTTAAACCTTCACCGGCATAACACACTGAAAGAATGATAAATTTTACCTGTTGTATGTGCCAAAATATCGTCCAAACAGCCTGGATAAGTTTGTTTACAGCGATTTATTGCACCATTATTTCGTTGACTTCTGAGGAACGATGCGGTCGGCACGACTGAGCTATGCCAGCGTGAACCATGACGTCATGGCACGTTCTCTCACGGTGACTGGTTCCTCTCTGTTCAAGGCCTTAGAAGAAGTCGGTTGGGTTATAAACATAGATTTGAGGTTTTTCACAATCTAATTATAGCATTGAAGGCTTGCAGTAGAAGGCTTCCCTAACTTTGAATATATTTTTATTTGATTTTGTTTTGGTAAGTACAGAGTCACCTCTGCCTTCGACTTTACGGTAAAAGGTGACATCCACTGATAGACTGCTGCTCCTGGCTGCGACACTCAAGAATGCAAAAGTACACTGTACTTAAGAATCAAAATCTCTAAAAACAAGATTTAAAATGGATTTTTTTTTTCTAAGTAGCAAAAACTTAAGTCAGTATCACTATGTTGAGAAAAGCAAAATCCATTCTTTTGCTCCTGGACGATGATCGGATTCGGGCCTACTGTGGAAATTAAACATGACAACCGACGCTGTGATCTACTGAAGGACGATTGTAACTGTATGGTCCACGAAACTTACTTTCGTATCCGTGATTTCTACTTTAATTTGGAAGATGAAAGTGTTCTCTGACAAATGTAAAAGATGGAAATGAGAGCGGCAACAATTTCGTTTAGTAAAAACCAAGCTTAATTCATTTAATGATATATTTAGCGATTGGAAGAATTGGACCGCTAAATTTGCGATAACTTTAATTTTCCGAATACTGACCATGACATGTACGTGAACGAATACGAAAGTTGTAAAGCAGAGTTAAAAAACAGATCGAAATGTATAGGTGAATTGAGATTGGGGAACGAAAATCTGACGAAATTACTCTTCAGGACTAGAGGAAAAAGACCATCACGGAACTAGCAATGGAAGACGATTCAATAACAAATGAAAAACTGATAATGAATGGAATAACGGATGAAATTTCAGTCTTAAACTGAGAAATTTGTAACGCGAAATCTTGATATGTGGAGAGAGAGGGATCTTACACTGTTTGGGAAAGTTATCATCAGATAAAATGTCTAGGTTTGTCACAACTAAAATACTCAGCCTCAATTCTTTTATACATTAAAATATCCCAGAAGAATAAGAGAGATAAAATCGAAAGAGTCGAGCTGTATATCAAGACCTTGAAAGGCGGAACACGTATGATTGATATCGAAATCATGATCATAGCTCTTAAGGATCCAGCTAGCCTAGGTTTCTAGACGCCTGTCTTCAGATCTAGAAAAAATTGGAAAACAGTTCCAGATTATATCCAGAAGACATGTCATGAAAGAACAACCTGCAGCGGAGAATTTTTGACAAACTTTGATCACAACTTCCTCAAATAAGGAGAAAACTGGGAAATAAATCATCGCATAAAAATCAAATTTTGTAAGAGCGTAGTAGCTGCGTGCTATATTATTTCCTCAAAAAATAGTAATGCGATTTCCCCTAACTTCCTGGTTCCATGATTCTGCTCATGCAGAGCTGCACAAACATAAGGCGTCTAGTTTCAGTCTTTCTTCCGTCAACAAATCAGGCCGATCTCTCTGAACTTTCATGGCAGGAGAACTATTATAATCAAAGAAAAGCGGTGAGAAGTTTTTGCCAGAACACTACCGATCACGAGAAGAACAACACACTGATTACGTCTTTTATATATCAGGCACACTCGACCGAATGAGAATAACTTCAAAACGACAAAAACTGTTAAATTGATCCTGTTAAATTGTGGAGAGCTTTAACTATCTAGGAGTTATACTGTCCTCTAATTTTACTTGGTCTGAACATGTTGGACATGTAATATCTAAGGTGAACCAAAGATTAGGTCTTCTACGCATTTACTACCATTTAGCACACGCCTTCTTTACATTCTCGTCCCCGGTGCTACTCGTCTTAAAATGTCGTTTCTCCTACCACGTGACCGAAAGAAACGGAGGCTCTGGAGACGAGAATGCCTTCTTTACTACGTACAAAAGCCTCGTCCTTCCTATCTTAGAGTCCTTAGAATACGCTGATATGGTACGGAGCGGACAAGGATAGTGCTGCTCTAATGAACAACCTACAGTTGCTACAAAATAAGGCTGCTAAACCTATTTTACATAGACCCTTGTATTCTTCCAGTTCTTCGCAACGGGGGCACTTAGTCAACTCGGTTGGTTAAGTTTAGAACAACGGAGGCTCTTTCATCGTTGCGCATTTTGCCTCTTTGTTTATAAATGCATTAATGGAATAACTTCCCCACAGTTTAGAACTGCTAAGAAACAGCGGTGTACATAGTTACAGTACACACAACAAAGACGATCTTAGACTTCCATCTGTAAAACGAAATTGAGGATAGCAAAGAACTTCTTACCATGTCTTCAAAGATTGGAGCAATTTAGATAGAAATTTACTTTTGTGGGAAATTGTAATTGTTATGATTAATTGGTAACAGGACATCGTGTGGTCCAATTCAGTCTGTAATCATACTCGTAATTAACAAATCGGACTCCCGCTTCGCGGTCGTCCGATTTTGTCAATCACTCCTATGATTACAGACCGAATTGGACTCCACTCAGTCCTATTACCATTATTAATCATACTCGTGATAAACAAATCGGACTCCCGCTGCGCGGTCGTCTGATTTTGTTATCACTCGTATGATTACAGACCGGATTGGACTCCACTCCTATAACCATTACTTACTGCGAGTTCCCGTCTGAAGACATGATTGATCATCGCAAACTTTATTTTTTATGCACACAACTTAAGCATACATGATCTCTCATATATTCACTTGTATCTTCATCATCTACCGGTATATTACGAACTCACAATGTGACCTGGGGCCCGTTTCTCAAAGGTCCCGAAAAGGTTTCGCACCCGGAAAGCCGTTGCAAAATCTCAAACCTCATGGTTACAGAGCTGTTTTATTCACATATTCTTAATATGAACAGAGGTTTCATTCCGTAGAAAAAGTTTCAGGCGTACACACCTCTCTGTCTTTAAATACCGATTAACTAAAAATGGCTTTACGGGCCCGAAAAGTTTCCGGGGCTTTCGAGAAACAGGCCCCAGCTCCCAGTTGGCATGATAGCTGAGTTTATTTTGGTAGAGTACAGGACCAGTATTGCAAAGTTTATGGGTTCGAATCTCGTTCAAGCCTGAAGATTTTTTAGGCTTTAATTTCACAGCTGCGATGATCAGTCATGCCTTCATATCTTTCTCCGCAATTAAACATTTTAATCGTAATTTTAAATTTTTAGCAAAGTTAAATTTAAATACACTACCCCACAAGCTTTTAGCTTTAATTATTATCGTGTTTAAATAAAGTCTATCTATCTATCTATCTATCTATCTATCTATCTATCTATCTATCTATCTATCTATCTATCTATCTATCTATCTATCTATCTATCTATCTTTCATATATTCACTTGTATGCGTCTCCGTATGTTGCTTATGTTCATGCACTTGTGAAGACCATCTACAAAGATAATATACAACATCGGAATAAAATATATTCTTTATATTATAATATATGATAATAATAATAGCCTTTAAATTATAATATATTCTTTAAATTAGTATCCGCCGAAACATTATGATTTCCTGCTTACAAGACTCTACGGCGACAATATTTAAGGCTTAATGATTTGCCTTGAGGGATGTTTTACTAAGGAGCTTTTTAACGGAAAATTTAAATAAGGATTTCAAATTTGTTAATTTGACAAGCCCTCCCTGACCCCCCCATCCCCCTTTCCCCCAATCCGTCTTCCACAAGAGTCAAACACTGAAGTTAAACGATGGGTTACAAACTCTGTCGGTGATGTTTGAAACTATTGAATACCAGCATGTAATTAGTCTCCTCCGCAGCCGTTTCCCAAAAAACGGCTGCGGAGGAGACTAGTATGTAATTAGCTTGGTGTATTCTCAGAAAAGGATTATTAAGCCCCCCCCGGGGGGACTTCTATATAAAAAGGACGGAGCTACTTGTCGTACCTTTTAGGGATTAAAAGAGCGGTTTTGGTGCCTCTTAGAATGTTCAGCCTCCAAGGTCTTCAGCGGGAGCTTTTGCAGTGCTTTTGAGGGAATTGAGTGGAAAAAAATAAAAATATATACTGGTAGTAATCAAAGATTATGAGAGTGCGTTCGACGCGCGCTTTCGACGCCGTTACTTTAATATATATTCCTTAAATGATTTCACTAGCTGACTTTCTAGCTCTGCCTATTCCTAAAATCAACAATTTTCATCAACAATCGAGGTTTTAGAGACAGATAATATTCTCACATTAACTGGTAATGTTTAAGCGTAAAAGCTAATTTGTAAAAGTATATATTTTACGTACATTATTCTCAACCTCGTTCCCAGGGTCTCTCATCTTACCGCCTCCAGGGAGCGGTAAGATGAGAGACCCTGGGAACGAGGTTGCACTATTCTAAGCTGGAAGTACAAATATAAGCAAACAATTGTGCAATCGCGTGCTCGTTTATCGTAAACAAACTCCGTGCGACTGACCAGATTATTTCCCCTGATGAATAAACCAAAGCATACAGTATTTACATAATTTGCTGTTCCTTGGTTCAGGCTCACTCTTATGAATCGTGCCTTCAGAGACTTTAGAGTACTTTTCCACCGATTCCAAATACGACCGGATGAGCTATCTGTCGCGACTGGAACTAATCAACAAATGCAATCAAAATAAAGCTGTTGCCACAGTTAACATCCTTAAATTAAGGGAGTAAAGCCAAGGCGATTCAAAGTCATGTTCGTTAACATATAAAATAAACAAGGACAATTCCCTCAGATTTCGATAAATGCTACCGTCGAAGCGTTTAAATTCACCAAAATCCTGAAAATCCAACGCTGAGAGTACAAAGTAGTATAGCCCACGGCGATCGCGACTGAATGGAAAGAAGTCAGTGAAATGTCCAGCGCAAAGACGAGCTCGCATGCATGGCCTACTCACATGTTCGGCACATGTCTTATCACATGTCTTAGTAGCGGTACCAGCTTACTGGCCGTGACATGCCCCTGCAACAATCAAGCGGGATGGCCATTTTGGTG